GAGGGGGAGGAGCAGGAGGAGGAGGAGGAGGAGGAGGATCAGCAGGGGGAATATCAGCAGAAGGAGCATTCGGAGGAGGAGGAGGAGAAGGAGGAGGAGGAGGAGGAAGAAGAAGAGCAGGAGAGAGTGGACGAGGGAAAGAGTGGGAGAGGGGGAAGAGATACATCAGCCACTTGCGCCCAGGGCGTCCTGCACGATCCGTGTAGGCGCTGGGCACCTTTGTGAACTCCGGCGGCTGCCGTCCAGCCGAGATGGCTGCGGCTGCGGCGCGCGGCGGGGCTCCGAGAGGGCCCGAGGCCCTCCCCTGCCGCGCCCCGCCGTCGCGCCTCCGGCAGCAGCGCCGCCGCCCCCGCGGGGCCCCAGAAGGCCGAGCGTGTCGCCGCGCCGCGCGTGCCGACGCGCAGCCGTCCGTCTTGGCCCCAGACGGAAGTTCGCGAGGGGATTTCTGGGAGATTCGCGGGGGGAGGCGCTTTTTGAAGATGGGAGGTTCCGGAGAAGTCGCGGGGAGATTATGTGGAGATTTTTGGGGCGGCCGGGTTTGCCAGAATCGGCTCAGTCTAAGTCTGGGGGAGGGCGCCGCGGCCACCAGGGCAAGCGCCGCCTCGGGCGCGGTGGGCTCGCCGTGGGGTTTGCCGCGACGTGGCGGCCTCGTGGGGCGCAGGGCTTGCCGCGGGTTGGCCGTGGTGTCGGCGTCGTCCACTTGGGCGCGTCGAGAGCAAACGGCGCGGCGACATGATTGTCAAAAGCGGCTCGGGTCAAATAGTGACAGGGCATGCCGAATTGTGTTGTTTGTTGCACTGTTCAAAACGCCCTTACTACACCGGGCTTCGGTTGTTGTGTCCGAAACGGGGCGGTCGTCCATGACAGCCGTAGTTTAGAATTTGTGTCGTGAACGCACGAGGTCGTGTGAAGTGGCCACGAAGACGAACACTCGAAGAAGAGGTCGCGCCGCATGGCCCCCGTCCCGCTTTTCAGCGCATGCCTGTTATGACACTCTCCGCGCTTCCCACAGCTACGCCTGCGCGCATCTGCAGATCCACGGCCACGCGGTCTGCACCACTCGGCCTCGACCCGCCGGATGCAGCGCGGCTCTGCGCAGAAGTTCCTGCGCGGAGCGTGCCCGTGGGATCGCGTGTCCGTGGGCTCGCGCCTCGTTGCCCAGACATGCGATGTCGTGATCTTTGCAGTGCGCGGTCCCCGAAGTTCCCACCGCTTCCCCAGGGCTGGACTCTCACCCTGCGTCGTTTCTGGGCGGTTCCGCGGCCCAGCGAGGGCCCAAAAGTTTTTTGCATATCTAAAATACACTGTATGTGCATATCTATGTATGTATGAATACAGATGTGTGTATATATACGTATGTATGTATACAGAAATATGTATACACTTGTAAATATGTGAGACACCTTCCGTCGTGATTTTGTCCCTTCGAGCACGTCTGGATGTCCAGGCCGCGAGGGTACGGATGTGTCGATGCGCCCGCCGCCCGAGAGGAGAAGCAGCGCGTGGAGAACCTGGCCGCGGAGCTCGAGCAGGCCTGCGACGGAGCATATGTATATACATATATATAATATGTATGTAAGGGGCGGTTCAAAGAGGGCCTCGCCTTCGAGGATTGAATGAGTTGTCATCTCATCCTCGGCGGAAGGCGGTGGAAGGTCGGCGGAAGTAGAACGAGGCCGCCTCCGCCGTCGGAAGCCCGCGGAAGGCGGCGGAGGTAAGATGTGTGCCCCCAGGAGATGAAAACGTTGTTGGGTTCAGTGTTTCTGAAATCGCCCATATAGGACGAGCGCTGCAGCGCGCCAGTCCAGTCTGCGGCCTTGGCGTCGTTCGGAAAGAGCCATAGAGGAGCATCCTGGGTCATCGTGCGAAAAAAGCAGTCAACCCGCATGATAAGGATGGGCAGCCTTCCCAAAGGTACCCTTGCGTCCTTGCCTCCTCGGTCCATCCTTGGCCACGTTCGTTGGCCGCGGCCCGTTCGAGAAGCTGCGAGATGGCCCTCCAAGGCCCTTGCATCCTTATCGCGCATTCTTATGACACGGCCCGGCTGCACGCGCGCGAGACCCAAGGGCTCCCAGGAGGGCGCGAAGTTATTCGCGCTTCGCGGTCCTCGTTTCTCCTCCCCCTCCTCCTCGTCCTCCTCTTCTCCCTTTGGGGGGGCGGCGCGAGAGCGCGAAGTTATTCGCGCTTCGCGCTTCGCGCAGCGCGAAGCCCTAGGAGCCCTTGACGGGGAAAACGGACGTCCGAGCGGCGGCGAGCGGCTGGAGCCCCCCCGCCCCCCAGGCGTGGGCCGGCTTGGGCAGCCCCCTCGCGGGCTCGTGGCGGGGTTCCGCGAGGTCCCGCAGCAAGGGCGCCCTCGAGGGCGCGAAGTTATTCGCGCTTCGCGGTTCGGCTTCGATTCCTCCTCTTCCTCCTCTTCTCCCCTGGGAGGCGGCGCGAGAGCGCGAAGTTATTCGCACTTCGCGCTTCGCGCAGCGCGAAGCGCGAAGCTGGGAGCCCTTGCTGCAGAGTCCGGGAGCCGGGCCGGGGCGATCGAGATGAGCGACGCCAACAAGCTCGGGCGGGTGGTAATGGTCGGGTCGGACGAAAGGGGGGGCAATTGGGAAAGGGGGGGGTTACGGAATCTGCTGCATGCAGCTGGTTTCGGCCTCACCGAGGGGCCCATTCCTCGATGCATAGCCGCCTGCGGCGCCGGGAGGCGCCGGGAAAAGCAGCTACGTGAGCCGATTCTCAAGCCCCCCCTTTGCTATCCCCCCCTTTCGCACGACCCGAAATGGGGGGGTGACCCAAACGTGGGGTGAAGAACAAGGCCCTACAGTGGCCGTTTGGGCTTCGGGGCCCCTCTTGTGGCCAGCCGGTGCCCAAAAGGTGTCCTAAAGGGCCCTTTTTAGCTTTTAGGGCCTTCTTCTTCTTCACCCCCCATGTGGATCACCGATTGCAAAAAAACCCGAAGGATTGCAAAAAAAAACCCGCCCGAAAGATTGCAAAAAAACCCAGGATTGCAAAAAAACCTGGGTTTTTTCGAAGGATTGCGAAAAAAACCCAGGATTGCAAAAAAACCCAGGGTTTTTTTGCAATCCTGGGTTTTTTTGCAATCCATTACCACCCGCCCGAAAAAACGCGGTCGTCTGCGCCGACGTTGGCGCGTACGTAAGCTGCCCGCGCAAGGTCGCGCGCAGGCGCCCTCGCCTTCACCGTGGCGTGCCACCCGCCTTGCGGCTCGCGCAAAAGCCACCGCGCCAGGGTCGCGATGCCATCTCGCGTAGGACCCGTTTTTGATTGTCGATCGCATGGGTACGGAAAGAATGGGTGCACCAAGGGCTCCCTCGAGGGCGCGAAGTTATTCGCGCTTCGCGCTTCGCGGTCCTCGTTCCTTCTCCCCCTCCTCCTCGTCCTCCTCTTCTCCCTTTGGGAGGGCGGCGCGAGAGCGCGAAGTTATTCGCGCTTCGCGCTTCGCGGAGCGCGAAGCGCGAAGCTGGGAGCCCTTGGTGCACAGACCGACAGCAGTTCCTGTGCAGTTTGGACAGGACTCACGGTCCGCTCCGCCGCGCACGTTGCCCATGGAAGGCAAAAAGCCTCCCGCCCAACAGCCGCTGTCAGTTTGGGACAACATGTGTTGTTGGGCATCGTACCCATTTTCTTCGTACCCATCTCGGGCGTGCAAAGGATCGCTTCGCACTGTCCTGACCTCTCCGAGTGCCGACTGAATCTAGTCCTCCAGGCATCGACCTATCTGGGCTGCACACAACCACGATGGGAATTCAGACGTCGAGATTCTGGTGCTAGTGTTTTGCCCCCCCCCCCCCCCCCCCCCCCCCCCCGGAAGGTCTGGTTTCGGGCGCAGGCACCAATCACAGGTCGACGGAGGAAATTCAGGTGTGGTGTGGGCCTACCATCAGGCCAGATGCGTGGACATCCCCAGGGAGACGGCACCCGTTCCCACCCGGGAGCAAGCAGGTCGGACGGCGTGGCCCGGGTCTCCCCGGGTGGGCTGTCGGGACGGCCCATTGCGCTCTCGGATCCTTCTCCTTCTGCCCCGCAGACCCGCCCGCGACCGCCTCGGCGCAGCGCTCGCATTGGCCTCCCCGCTGAAGCCGAAGGACCCAACCATGCGCGGCTGTGAGCACCGCGTTGTGGGCACCGCTTTCGGTGACGCTCCTTATAGGTGCCACGAACCGTGTGAGGGGTGTGCCAATATGGGCGTCGGGCGCATGTGGTCTGTGCCACTGGGGCCTTTTGGTGGAGCTCCCTATGGGGTCACGATCCTCGTGAGGGGTGTGCCGACATGGTGGATCTGCGGAGAGCAAAGGCAAGGGATGGGAGGAGGATCAGGAGGAGGAGGAGGAGGAGGAGGAGGAGGAGGAGGAGGAGGAGGAGGAGGAGGAGGAGGAGGAGGAGTAGGAGTAGGAGTAGGAGTAGGAGTAGGAGTAGGAGTAGGAGGAGGAGGAGGGAGGAGGAGGAGGAGGAGGGGGAAGGAACGCGGGGCGCTGTCTCTGCAAAGCGAGGGCCCAACACCACAGGCTGGTTGGGAACGACAGCAGCAGCAGCAGCAGCAGCAACAACAAGGGCAGAAACAGCACACGGAGCTGGGCCTCCCTCCTTTGCGAGCGCGAGCCTGCGGTCGCCTGCGAGGCAGAGTCGGACTCGTCTTCCCGGTCGTCCAAGGCCTCCGCGCAGCCCTCGCGCTGGCTCGCCCCCCCCCCCCCCCCCGGGCAGGCGCGCAGGCCCGTGACGGCCGAGGCCGCGGCTCGGCCGCGGATTCTGCGCAGCGGCCTCCCGTCGCACCTGCGCCACACGAGCACGCAGACGCGGCCGGTGGCATCGTCGTCGGCGTCGTCGTTGCAGTGGCCGCCGCCGCCCTCGCCGCCGTCGCCGTCGTCGTCGTCGTCGTCGTTGCCGTCGCCGTCGCCGCCGCCGTCGTTGCCGTCGTCATCGCCGCTGCCGTCGTCGCCATCGTCGTCGCCGCTGCTGTCGTCGTCGTTGTCGCCGCCGTCGTCGCCAACGCCGTCGTCGTCGGAGGAGGAGGACGAGGAGGAGGAGGAGGAAGAGGAGGAGGAGGAGAAGTAGGAGAAGGAGGAGAAGGAGGAGGAGCTAGGAGAGAAGCGAGGAGAGGAGGGAGGATGGCGAGGAGAGAGAGTGATCCAACAGAAGGGAGGGAGAGGAGTGCTAAGCTTCAGCTGCCACTCTCCTATGTCGACGACGTCTTCGGAGACGACCCCCCCTCTCCTCCCTCCTCCTCCTCCTCCTCCTTCTCCTCCTCCTCCTCCTCATCCTCCTCCTCTTCCTCTCATGAGTTACGTGCACTCCTCGTCCTCCTCCTCCCCCTCCTCGTCCTCCTCCTCCTCCTCCTCGTCCTCCTCCTCCTCCTCCTCCTCCTCCTCCTCCTCCTCCTCCTCCTCCTCCTCTCTCCTCGAGCCTCCCCTGCCTGCCCTGGGCCTGCCCAGGGGCGCACTCTGACCAGCTACCCTCGAGGCGGGTCCGGCCGCGGCGAAAAGGGAGAGTCCCCTCCAGAGCCCCGAGCCTCCCGCCCTGCGGAGCGGAGCGACAAGCGATGGGCTCGCGAGGCATGGCTCGTCGCCGGGGCAGCCGCCGCGACACGCCATCCGAAAGATTCTGGCCGTAGACGCTGTCAGCGAGCCCTCGGTAGGGCAGGGCCCTCTGCGGAAGGCATCAAAATACCCAGACCCCCGACGTCGTGTTTTTTTTTTCCACAGCGTCGACCCCCAGAGGTCTGGAGCCCTTCTCTGGGACCGGCTTTTCGTCCTGGGCCCTTTTTTGGCGCTCCCGGGGCCCGCCGAGAGCCTCCGTCGCGATTTTGTTCACGGCCCGAGGGGCTTCGGTGCGGGCAATACTTCTGTGCATATCCACTGCAGTATGGAGTTTCGGGCTCCCTTCCCAAGAAACCCGAGGCGCACTGGATATGAATAAATTTGCCCCCTAGAGGCTCGATTTCTATCCATAACCAGTGCGCCTCGGCCTTGTGGCGCTGCTTCCAAAAAAGTCCAAGAGGCACTGGATATGGACATGAATCTTGCCCGCATTTGGAGTATAATCCGGTCTGGGCCCTCCGCGCGGCCTCCCCAGGTGGACCACAGCGGGCAGAGCTGGCTCACCGCCTCCGAGGCGCCCCGGAGCCTGCAGGGCTCGCCGCCGCCGGGCCCCGGCGGGGACGACCGGCCCCGCGATCGGTCGCCGAGCCCGCAGGCGCGCGCGGGCCCAGCGACGACGGCGACGACGACGACGACGACGGCGACGACGACGACGACGACGACGACGACGACGGCGACGACGACGACGGCGACGACGACGACGACGACGAGAAGAATCACCACCAGAGCTTCTGGCGTTTTCGGCATGCGGGAGCCCTCTAAAGCCTGCTGTAGAGCCAGGAGCCTCGACCCTGAAGCACACGTGTGGGCGCGCATGAAGCGAAGAAGGAAGGTGGAGATGAGAAAGAACGTGAAGAGCGAGGCAACGACAGGGAATAACAACGAAGAACACAGGAGGAGAGAAGCTGGAAGAGTAGAAGATGCCAGTGTCATGTTGGTTCCCACGTTGCCAGCTTTCACTGAACGAGGGAGTCGTCGTGGAGCATTGGAGGATCTCTTGGGAGCCTATTGTTGGGCGTCTTGGGAACTTCCTGGTAACCTCTCGGTGGCGCTTTGGGAAGTTTCTGGAAGCTCCTCGTGGACATCTTGAGGGCTCTTCGGCCGATCGGTGTTGTTGGATCAGGGGTGTCTTCTAGAGACGCATCCTTAAAGTGAGCGAGGGAAGCTATGAAGCGACACTGCTTGGAACGGCCAGACTGGTGCTGGGATGCATCGTGAGCGAGTCGGACAGGCGTTTCTGGCAACCAGTGGCTTCGCACTTGCTGGGGGCGGAGGGGGGGGGGGGGGCGACAGAGGACGGCGGGGGACAAGGAGGATGAGGCTGCGGAGGGGCTCGACGGGGAAGGGGGAGGAAGAGGTCGCGGAGGAGATGTAGGTCGGGAGGAGGGGAGGGGAGGAGGACAAGGAGGATGAGGCTGCGGAGGGGCTCGACATTGAAGGGAGAGAGAGAGGTCGTGGAGGAGACGGAGGTCGGGAGGAGGGGACGGGAGAGGCAGCAGGGGCGCAGACGTGCGAGGCGTGGGCAGGGCAGGGCGCAGAGGCGGCCCGCGGGTTGCTCTGGACGAGTCGGAGGAGGCGCTCGGGAGGCTCACGTGGGGCTTCTCGGGGTCCCCGTGCTGTGCGCACGACGACCTCGCGAGGCAGGGAGTTGTGAGGACGGAGCTGGTGATGATGATGATGATGATGATGATGATGGTGTTGATGATGCTGATGCTGATGCTGATGCTGATGCTGCTGATGGTGATGATGATGATGATGTTGATGTTGATGTTGTTGATGATGATGGTGATGTTGATGATGATTTGTTTATTGATGATGTTGTTGATGCTGAAGCTGATGATGATGCTGAAGACGATGATGATGCTGCTGATGATGATGATGATGATGGTGATGCTGCTGCTGATGATGATGATGATGATGATGATGATGATGATGATGATGCTGATGCTGATGCTGATGCTGATGCTGATGCTGCTGATGATGCTGATGATGCTGATGATGATGCTGCTGATGATGCTGATGATGATGATTGGGCATGGAGTTCTATGACGGAGTTGCCTGAAGAGGACGAGGCGGCACGGAGAGGAAAGCGGAGGCAGAGGAGAGCAGCAGGGCGAGGAAGGAGGGGCGCCCGGAAGCAGCATACCTCGGGCGTCCCCCGTGCGGGTTCCCGTGCTGCCCGCTTCCCACTGGAAGCGTCGTGGGGGGGGCCCTCTGACGAGGTCCAGGAGGGAAGGAAACACACAGACAAAACCGATCGTCGATTCCCAAGAAGGGATGGGAAAAAATTTGGAAGTGGGCGCGAAGACGAACATCAAAAGACAATCTGAGAAAACATGGGGAATCCTGGGGTTTGTGTGCATTTAATGTGTGTGTGTGTGTGTCCTTGGGCCCCTTTCGAGGTTCAGGGAGGGAATGAAGGAGGAACGAGCGAACCAGGAAGGAGGAGGAAGAGGATGGAGGCCTCGGGCCGCTCACGGGTGTTTCTCGGGGCCTCTTGGAGAGACCTGTTGTGCTTTTGAGGGGGCTCTGGGGGATCCCTCTCCCTTCTCACTTCGAAAGGGTGCCGCGGCCGGAAACAGCAAGGTGTACGGTGTCTGGGGGCGGCTCTCGGGGGTTACGTACCCCCCCCAGTCCTGTCGGCCCTCAGGGGAACACACAGCGGGAACCCCTCCGCAAGGTCGGGGCACACCAGCAGGAAATCGAAGGTTTTGACCTCTCGAAGCGGCCTCCTGGAGCCCTCGGGGGCCCCCGTGACGACCTGTTGGGTTGTCTTGAAGCCGTCTTGGGCCATTCGGGGGCCGTCTGAGGCGTCTGGAGGCCACACTGGCTCTCTCGGAAGCGTCCTGTAGCGCAGATGGGCATGACTTTCGAGGAGGAGGAGGAGGAGGAGGAGGAGGAGGAGGAGGAGGAGGAAGAGAAAGAGGAGGAGGAGGAGGAGGAGGAGGAGGATATTGAGGACTTTCGAGAAAGAGAAGCGCAGGAGGAGGGAGATTGAAGCAGGGCGTTCCGTATTGTTTCTCGCGCTGTCCGTTTCACATCGGCAGCTCTGTCGGGGACCAGTGAACGGGTTCAGAAGGGACAGGAACGAGCAGCAGGTGTTGCGAACAGCAGCGGATATGGCCTCTCTGGGCCTGCTCGGGCTTCCCTTGGGTGCCCCTTTGGGCAGTATTGGGGCTCTCTCGGATCGCCTCGGGGCCCTCTGGGGCCGTCGAGGGGGGGCTTGGGCTGCCCTGGGGCCCTCCTGGAGCCCTCTTGGGTCCCCTTGGGGCTGTCTTTTGGGCTCTGCTCGTGGGCCGTCTTAGGGCACTGCTGTGCCTTCCGGGGGCTTTCTTGGGAGCCTCTTGTGTCGTGTTGAGGCGATATTCAAGGGCTCCCTCGAGGGCGCGAAGTTATTCGCGCTTCGCGCTTCGCGGTCCTCGTTCCTTCTCCCCCTCCTCCTCGTCCTCCTCTTCTCCCTTTGGGAGGGCGGCGCGAGAGCGCGAAGTTATTCGCGCTTCGCGCTTCGCGCAGCGCGAAGCGCGAAGTTGGGAGCCCTAGTTCTTGGACGCTGTTCAAACCCAAACGCGAACATGCTGAACACGTAAGTTTCTCTGCAGGAATGCGGCGATGTTTGTCTCTCGGGGATGTTGTCCTTGCTCTATGGGAACGCTCATGCTGCCAAACGAAGGGCTGAAGTCTGGCCGAGCTTTTGAACTATATCACCAGCCGTTGTGGAACCCCTTAGGGGAACTCTGGGGACAGCTAGCAAAAGGAGGAGGAGGAGCGGGAGGAGAAAGGGGATGGGGAATAATAGAACGCCTCTTGAGGCCCTCTTGAAGCCTCCTGGGGGCTTCCTGGAAGCCTTTGTGGGGGCTCAACAGGGCCTTTGGGGGGCCTCCTGAGGCCTCCCAGGGCATCTTGGGTATTTCTAAGGGGCTTCTGGGGGCCTCTATGAGACCTCTTGGCTTTCGGAGGCCGTCGTGAGGCCTGCTTTAGGGCCGTCTTGGAGGTCTATAGGGCCGTCTTGGGGCCGTTTTGGGGGCCTCGTGGGCTGACTTGGGGCCCTCTTGAGCCGTCGCGCCTCTTGGAGGCCTCTTAGGCCGTCTTCGGGCAATCTGGATGGCCTCGTCGGAAGCCCGAATAGGCGAGAACGCCGCTAAAATCGTTTTCAACAATATGTAATGACAATTAATGATGTTGGCCTTCTGGAGCTCCCCTTGAGGTCCTCTTGGGGTGTCTCTTTGGCCTTCGGAGGCCGTCTTGGGCCCTCCCTGGGCAGTTGTGGTCCCCTCCTTGGGCGCTGTAAGGCCGTCTTGGACACTTCTGGGCCCTCTTAGGGACGCCTTGAGGTCCTTCGGGGTTGTCTTGGCGCGATCTTGGGCTGGCTCGCGGGCCTTTGGTCGCAGGCCTAGAGATTGACACCAACACCAAGATCGGCGGTGTGCCTCCACCGAGGGAAGACGATCCCGATCTCGGTGATGGTGGTAATATTCTGGCCTCTAGGGTGGCCGAAATATTGCCACCAACACCGAAATCTAGGATCACCTCCCCCCTGTGGAGGCAGCCCTCTGTCTTGGTGTTGGTGCCCATTTCCAGGCCTCCCATTTGGGGGCGCCTCCTGGGCCGTCTTCGGGCGATCCTGCGGGCCGCTGGGCCCGTCCTCGAGCGGCGGAAGCCCGAACAGGCGAGACTGCCAACCTCGGCTCGAGCACCACGGGTGGCCTCCTCTGGAGGTCCCCGTGGGGCCTCTTTGGGGTGTCTCGAGGGCCCCTCGGCCTTCAGTAGGGGAGCAACAAAGTGGCATAAAGATAAAAACTCGGAGGTCCGCGCGGATTTCTCGGATCGGCGCTGGGCCCCCCTCCCTGGCGCGCGGAGCGCGCCAGGGGCGGCGCCGGAGGCGCCGCCGGGGGGCCCCAGCGCCGATCCGAGAAATCCGCGCGGACCTCCGAGTTTTTATGTTTATGCCACTTTTTGTTCCCCCATTCAGAGGTCGTCTCGGACCGTCCCTGGGCAGTCGTGGGTCCCTCGTGGGGTGCTTCGGGACCTGTTCGGCGGTCTCTGGGGCCGTCGTGGGGCCGTTCTGGGCGCCTCGTGGGTCCCTCGTGGGCCGTCTTGCGGGCCTCTTGGGGGCCTCTCGGGCCGTTCCGGGGCAGTCGTGATGGCCCTCTGGGCCCGCCTTGGAGCGTCGGAAGCCCGAACGTGCGAGAGCGCGAAGACAATGTTCTGATACAAACCTCCGGCAAGTCAAATCAATGGCTCTGGCCTCCTGGAGGTCCTCTTGGAGCCCTTTCGGGGGGTCTGGTGGGCTTCTCCGGCCGTCTGGAGGACATCTTGGGACGTCTTGGGGCCCCCCCGGGCCTCTTCGAAACTCGCCCGAAGCCGCAACTGCAAGTTGCGCCGTCTTGCGCCGTCTACGGCAGTCCGCGGCCGTCTTGCGGCCGTCTTCCGCCCGCCCTCCGCTTTCTGTTGGGGCCAGGTTTGGAGGTGTCCTTCCGAGGAGGAGGAACTTCACTCTATTTGACTTGGGGTTGTCCGCGAGTGCAGCAAGCTACAGTAGGGGTCTTGAAGAAGGAACCCTTTTCGTTGGGGAGGGGCTCCACGTTCCTTAAGTGTTTCACAGCTTGCCTCTGGTTTCCCTTATGTTTTCGATCGGAAATCGAAGTTTAACTTATGGAAAAAAGGGGCCTCGTTCCTTATTTAGGGTTCCTCAGGTCAACGCCCCGACTGTACATCTAGACGCTTCGCGTAACCCCACCAGCTCCGTGGCCATTGGCTCAAGCGCCGTCTCTGGCCCGAGCTCGCCTCCGCCCCCGCGCGGCCTCGCCCGCGCCTCTGGCCCGCCCGCATGGCGCCCCCTCGCCGGCGGCCGCGCCACCGCGGGGCGCCCTGGCGCGCCTGCCTGCTGCTGGGCGCCGTGTGCCGCGCGCTGTGGCGCGGCCCCGGCGGCGGGCTCGCCGCGCTCTGCGCGGGCCCCGTCGGCCGGGCGCCCGCAGGCCGCGGCGGTCGCGCGCGGGCGGGCGCCGGCCGGGCGGCGGCGCCCGGCGGCGGCGGGTGGCGGCCGCCGAGCGAGCGGGGCGAGCGGCGGCGCGCCGACTACATGTCGGGCATCCGCGAGCTCGCCGTGGAGGCGCTGCGGTGGCCGCACCTGGCGCCCTGGCAGCGCCTCGAGTGGGCAGCGGCGCTGCGGTACGACGCCGTTCCGGTGAAGGAGCTGCCGCCCTGGTGGCTCGCTCCGAGGAGCCTGACGCGCAGGGACATCGGCGTGGATCTGGTGAGCTTGGACGGCGAGCGGGCGGTGCAGTGCAAGTGCTGCAACGGCACCGTGCAGACGAAGGACGTCACCCACTTCATATGCGTGGCGCAAAACGTGTTCGGGGCTTCCGAGATCATCCTGGCGACGTCAGAGACGTCCCGCCTGACCAGCGATGCAGCAACCATCATTGAGTCTGCCGGCGTCAGGCACGACGTTTTGCCAAGCAGCTTCATCGATGAGCTACTGTCCAGCAGTGTAGCAGCGCTCCCACCGCCTCAGCGGGACTGCCTAGCGGCTGCCCCCCTCAGACCATGCCAGCGAGATTGCATCCGTGCCTGCAGGGCTGGAGCCCGCATCGTCGAGATGGCGTGTGGCACGGGCAAGACGCTGGTGATGCGAAGACTGGCCGATAATGCTTCAGGCCGCGTCCTGGTTTCGGTCCCGTCTCTCGCTCTGCTCTGGCAGCATCGTGCGACATTTCCTGAATTCTGCCCCGTTGGGACTGGGTATAACACGAAGGTCGCGTGGGATGCGCCAGGATACATCAGCGTGACGGACTCTGTGCACCTCCTGGAAGGCATCCACTTTTCTGACATATTTGTCGACGAGGCTCATCATCCTTTGCCGCTGGTATTCCCGAAGGGCGACAATACATATTTCTTTTCAGCGACGCATAAGGCATGCCCCGACTACTCTTATGGAATGGGCCAGGCGATCGATGATGGCGTGTTGTGCGATTACGACTTGGTTGTGCCAGTAGTGGTGATGGGGAGACTACGCTCGCTGCTCTTGCGGGTTTGCTCCTTGCGAAGGTTGGGCATTTTCGGCGCGTCCTTGCGTATTGCAATTCGATAGACGAGGCTCTTCTCTTCAAGAGCGAGGTCGTGAAGTCTGGACTGGTTGCTTGGCACATTAACGGCGAGACCCCACGCGCGGAGCGCCAGCGAGTGTTGAAAGCATTCGCGGGTCCTCTTCAGGGCCCTGCCCACGTGCTCGTAACGGTGCAGGTTCTCGGCGAGGGGATTAACATCAAGAACGCCGATACGTGCTTGTTCGTGCGGCCCCGGCGCAGCTACGTCAGCATTGCGCAAGCCGTGGGCCGAGCCCTCAGACTACACCCCAGCAAGCCGCTGGCGCATATTATCCTTCCAGCAGTAACGCCTCACTACAGTGGCCAGGACCAGCCGCTCGGCACCCAGGACGCGCACGAGGAAGCCCATGGTGACTCCGCAGAAGCAGAGGCCGAGGCGCTCGGCAACCCTCCGTCTGTGGGCACCGCGGTGTCCAAGTCGACGCATTCAGCCACCAGCTCTATTCGCCGTGCCGCGAGCACCAGGCACTCAGCGCTGTCCAGCGCGCCTCTACTGCCGCCATGCTTGACAGGTGAGAGGCGGCTTCGTGCGGAGCCAGGCAGCGTGGAAAAGGCGCGTGACAGCCTGCAGGCCACGAGTGATGCGCCAGATGTTCTGGCGTCGCGATCACAAGGTGCATGTTCACAGCAAAAGGCCAGCAGTGAGTTGGAACGCTTCGTGGCCACCCTGGCGTCAGCAGATTGTCGTTTCAGATCAGAGTTGACGCTCGGGTGTAGCAGTCGCATTTCTTTGGTTGATACCCGAACCTGCGAAGATCATCGGGGCAATGGTACTCAATATTTGGAGCACCGTGTACGAAATTCATTGCTAGCGTTGTCGAGATTGCGCTGCCAGTGGCAGTCCAGATTGCAGCAGTTGGGCACATTCCTGGAGGCGCACGGCAGGTTGCCGACAAGGAGCACGGTCGCCGACGAGGAAGAGCTCAGGCTAGCCCAGTGGCTCAGGCAGCAAGCCGGGCTCTTCAGATCCCAGCGCCTGGCAGAGGACCGCGAGGCAGCCCTGAGGGGCGCCCACACCTTGGTCAGCGAGAGGTTGACGGAGAGGTTGACGGGGGAGCGGCCGCGGCAGGACTGGCAGTCCTGGCTGCAGCAGTTGGGCGCGTTCCTGGAGGCGCACGGCAGGTTGCCGACAAAGAGCACGGTCGCCGACGAGGAAGAGCTCAGGCTAGCCCAGTGGCCCAGGCAGCAAGCCGGGCTCTTCAGATCCCAGCGCCTGGCAGAGGACCGCGAGGCAGCCCTGAGGGGCGTCCACACCTTGGTCAGCGAGAGGTTGACGGAGAGGTTGACGGGGGAGCGGCCGCGGCAGGACTGGCAGTCCCGGCTGCAGCAGTTGGGCGTGTTCCTGGAGGCGCACGGCAGGTTGCCGACAAGGAGCACGGTCGCCGACGAGGAAGAGCTCAGGCTCGCCCGGTGGCTCAGCACCCAAGCCGGGCTCTTCAGATCCCAGCGCCTGGCAGAGGACCGCGAGGCAGCCCTGAGGGGCGTCCACACCTTGGTCAGCGAGAGGTTGACGGAGAGGTTGACGGGGGAGCGGCCGCGGCAGGACTGGCAGTCCCGGCTGCAGCAGTTGGGCGTGTTCCTGGAGGCGCACGGCAGGTTGCCGACAAGGAGCACGGTCGCCGACGAGGAAGAGACCAGGCTCGCCCGGTGGCTCAGCACCAGGCTCGCCCGGTGGCTCAGCACCCAAGCCGGGCTCTTCAGATCCCAGCGCCTGGCAGAGGACCGCGAGGCAGCCCTGAGGGGCGTCCACACCTTGGTCAGCGAGAGGTTGACGGAGAGGTTGACGGGGGAGCGGCCGCGGCAGGACTGGCAGTCCTGGCTGCAGCAGTTGGGCGCGTTCCTGGAGGCGCACGGCAGGTTGCCGACAAAGAGCACGGTCGCCGACGAGGAAGAGCTCAGGCTAGCCCAGTGGCTCAGGCAGCAAGCCGGGCTCTTCAGATCCCAGCGCCTGGCAGAGGACCGCGAGGCAGCCCTGAGGGGCGTCCACACCTTGGTCAGCGAGAGGTTGACGGATAGGTTGACGGGGGGGCGGCCGCGGCAGGACTGGCAGTCCTGGCTGCAGCAGTTGGGCGCGTTCCTGGAGGCGCACGGCAGGTTGCCGACAAAGAGCACGGTCGCCGACGAGGAAGAGCTCAGGCTAGCCCAGTGGCTCAGGAAGCAAGCCTGGCTCTTCAGATCCCAGCGCCTGGCAGAGGACCGCGAGGCAGCCCTGAGGGGCGTCCACACCTTGGTCAGCGAGAAGTTGTGGGGGGAAAAAGAACTCGGCAAACCAGTGGCCTTCAGCCGCTTCTTGGTGGCACTTTCTGCCCAGCACCCGCTGCCTCCCCGCCCTTGGGTCCCTGGCAGCTGCCTGCTGACAATGCCGACACGTGGACCGCCGCTGGGACCGTGGTCCACCTGTCCTAGTTGGCCCCTGGCCTTGCTGTATTTGTTTCCACCGCTCCCGGCGCCTTCTACCCCCCCCCCCCGCGCCTTCGGCAATTGCCCCGCGCCGAGCTACCCCGCTTCCCGCGCGATGGCGGCACTGCCACGCTCCGCCCTGGCCCCCCCTCCTCAGGCAGCCGGAGCCCCTGAGTGCACGTGGTTCAACCTGTGCTCTCCTGGCCGTTGGCCGACTGTGTTGACTACGTCCGCGGTTATCTGACGACAGTGTCGACGGCATTCGTTTTCATTCGTCCACGTGCTTGAGGCGTTCCCCTGCCCAGTTCCTGGTCAGCTCTCCTCATACTTTGGCGTCCGTGTTCGGGAGTGCGCGTGGCCTCAGGAGCGAGTGTGCGACTTCGGTGGCGCCACTCGTGCTGGTTCCTGGTCGGTGACGTCTCCGTGGCCATCGGTGTTAGCATTTCCTCCTGGAATGTACTGCAAGCGAGCAGCCCCCTTCAGGGGCTGGGTGCATGAGGATTCTCGTGGTTGATCCTGCGTCTTGTCCTCGCCCTCTGCAGCCACTTGTCAGCGTTGTGTGCGACTTTGGTGGCGCCTCTCCCATGCCCAGGTTCCTGGTCAGTGAGTTCCCCCCGGCCTTGCCGGTTTCTGCGATCTTTCGCGGTGGCGCTCCTGGTTTCATCCTGGTCTCGTTCCCGCGCCATTTTGGCTGCGCCCCGACTTCGGTTGGCTAATTGCATGTGCGCGTTCCTGGACCTGGTTCCTGGCAGCTTCAGCCCGCACCCCCCTTCCGCTTCCGGTGATCGGAGGTGCCGCTGCGACACAAAAATAACCCCCCCAGCCCGTACAGGAACGATGCCCAGAGGAAGTGCCTCGATCAGAGAAGTGGGCAGCACACAGAGGAAGGGTCCCTCAATGGAGGCCTCTTGGAGCTTCTTGGGGGCTTCTTGGCGGTCCCGGGCGCCTCTTAGAGCGTCTTGGGTGCCTCGGAGAGCCTCTTGGGGCCTGTTGGGGGTCTCTTGGGGGCTTCTTGGGGCCCCTGGGGCGCCTGTTGGGGCCTCCTGGGGCCTCCTGGGCGCCTCTGGTGGCCCTCTTGAAGCGCTCTTGGCCGCCTTGGGGGCGCTCTTGGAGCCCTCTTGGGCCATCTTGGAGTCATCGTGAAGCTTCGGATGGCCATCGGAAGCGAAAAAACGAGAAAGCCCAAAACATCGATGTTCCCAAGATTTTGGAAGGATTGTGGCCTCTTCGGGGCCTCCTGTGGGAGCTCTTTGGCCACTTCGAGCCGTCTTGCAGCGGTCTTGGGACATCTTGGAGCATCGTGGGAGCCATCTTGAGGCATCTTGGGGTATCTTGAGCCATCTTGGAGGTCATCTTGGTCCCAGGCGCTCTTGGAGTCATCTGAAGCAGCGCCCCCCCCCCCAGGAGGCCCAAATGTGGCCAACACCTTGATACAATGAATGATTGTGGCAATCTCGCCGAGGCCTCTTGGAGCGTCTTGGGTGCCTCTGGGGGGCCTCTGGGGGCCTCTTGGGGGTCTCTGGGGAGCCTTTTGGGGGCATCCTGGGGGCCTCTTAGGGGTTTCTTGGGGCCACGTGGGGCCATCTCGGGGCCTCTTAGGGCCTCCTGGGCGCCTCTTGGGGCCATCGTGGAGGAGATCGATCACAAGAGGGGGGGACTAAATTAGCCCCCCCCTCAGGAGGCTAACATTGGGCTAGAACCATAGTAAAACACATGATTGTGGCTTCCTCGCCGAGGCCGTTGTGGACGCTCCAGCGCGTCGCGGGGAGGGGGTAGGGGGAGGGGTCAAGCTACCCCTCCCTGCCCGCAAGCCGTCTCGCTCACTCCCACCCGCCCTCCCAACACATACGCAGCACCCGAGCCTGGCCCGAGCCGCAGCATATTCAGCAGTCGTATTTGGATGGGCAGCTACTGGGTGCGAATCCGCCGCCGCCGCCGCCGCCCGCCGCCGCCGCCGCGGCGCCGCCGCCGCTGTCCGCCGCCGCCGCCGCCTGCCGCCGCCGCCGCCGCCGGCGCCGTCGCCGCCGCCGCCCCCGCTGCCGAATCGCCGCCGCCGCAGCCGTTGCCGCCGCAGCCGCTACCGCCACCGCTGCCGCCGCCGCCGCCACCGCCGCCGCCGCCGCCGCCACCGCCGCCGCCACCGCCGCAGCCGTCGCAGCCGCTACCCCCGCCGCAGCCGCCGCAGCCGCCGCCGCCGCCAAGTGTACTTTGTTTGTTTTTGACAGGGATGTTGGGGGGAGGCCGCATCGGGTTCGCTGCGCATGCTCCGAGATTGGAGGCATCATGTGTTTTGCACTGCTCGTTTACAAGGGACGGTGGGGGGGCCCTCATTGACCCGGGTTGGCTACCAGTCGCCTGGGTGTGTGTGTATACTAATAAGGAACAGTGATCAAGACGCCCTCCGACCCCGCAAGCCGTCTCGCTCACCCCCACCCGCACTCCCAACACATACGCAGCCCCCGAGCCTGGCCCGAGCCGCAGCATATTCAGCAGTCGTCTTTGGATTGGCAGCTACTGGGGGCGAACCCGCCGCCGCCGCCACCGCCTCCGCCGCCTCCGCCGCCGCCGCCGCGCTGCCGCCGCCGCCGCCGCCGCTGTCCGCCGCCGCCGCCGCCACCGCGCCGCCCGCCGCCGCCGCCCCCGCTGCCGAATTGCCGAATTGCCGCCGCCGCAGCCGTTGCCGCCGCAGCCGCAGCCGAAGCCGCTGCCGCCACCGCTGCCGCCGCCGCCGCCGCCACCGCTGCCGCCGCCGCCGCCGCCGCCACCGCCACAGCCTTTGCAGCCGCTGCCCCCGCCGCAGCCGCCGCAGCCGCCGCCGCCGCCGCCAAGTGTATTCTGGATTGTTCCCAACCCTCCTATGGTTGGGTATTTGTTTTGAATAGAGCAGCGTGGTCGCCCCAGCCTCATTTTCCGTCTCCTCCCCCCTCCTCCCTTCCTCCTCTCCTGTTTCTTGTGTTCCCCTCTTCTCTTCTCTCGTGCCGTCGGGCTGCGATCTGCGCAACTGTCGCCACTTCCGTGGGCTCTTGGGAGGCCCAGCGGAGGTACGTCCAACGCGGATCACCTCGGGACCTCGCGGTGCCCTGGGGGGCTGCGATCTGCGCAACTGTCGCCACTTTCGTGGGCTCCTGGGAGGCCCAGCTGAGGAACGTCCAACGCGGATCACCTCGGGACCTCGCGGTGCCTTGGGGGGGCTGCGATCTGCGCAATTGTCGCCACTTTCGTGGGCTCCTGGGAGGCCCAGCGGAGGTAAGTCCAACGCGGATCACCTCGGGACCTCGCGGTGCCTTGGGGGGGCTGCGATCTGCGCAATTGTCGCCACTTCCGTGGGCTCCTGGGAGGCCCAGCGGAGGAACGTCCAACGCGGATCACCTCGGGGACCTCGCGGTGCCTTGGGGGGCTGCGATCTGCGCAATTGTCGCCACTTCCGTGGGCTCCTGGGAGGCCCAGCAGAGGTAATTATGTCCAACGCGGATCACCTCGGGACCTCGCGGTGCCTTGGGGGGCTGCGATCTGCGCAATTGTCGCCGTTTTCGTGGCTCCGGGAGGCCCAGCGGAGGTACGTCCAACGCGGATCACCTCGGGACCTCGCGGCGCCTTGGGGGGCTGCGATCTGCGCAATTGTCGCCACTTTCGTGGGCTCCTGGGAGGCCCAGCTGAGGAACGTCCAACGCGGATCACCTCGGAACCTCGCGGCGCCCAGGGGGGCTGCGATCTGCGCAACTGTCGCCACTTTCGTGGGCTCCTGGGAGGCCCAGCGGAGGTACGTCCAACGCGGATCACCTCGGGGACCTCGCGGTGCCTTGGGGGGTTGCGATCTGCGCAATTGTCGCCACTTCGTGGGCTCCTGGGAGGCCCAGCGGAGGTACGTCCAACGCGGATCACTCGGGGACCTCGCGGTGCTTGGGGGGCTGCGATCTGCGCAATTGTCGCCATTTTCGTGGGCTAGGAGGCCCAGCGGAGGTACGTCCAACGCGGATCACCTCGGGACCTCGCGGCGCCTTGGGGGGCTGCGATCTGCGCAAGTCGCCACTTTCGTGGGCTCCTGGGAGGCCCAGCGGAGGTACGTCCAACGCGGATCACCTCGGGACCTCGCGGCGCCCTGGGGGGCTGCGATCTGCGCAATTGTCGCCACTTTCGTGGGCTCCTGGGAGGCCCAGCGGAGGTACGTCCAACGCGGATCACCTCGAGACCTCGCGGCGCCCTGGGGGGCTGCGATCTGCGCATTGTCGCACTTTCGTGGGCTCCTGGGAGGCCCAGCGGAGGTACGTCCAACGCGGACCCTCACTCGCGGCGCCCTGGGGGCTGCGATCTGCGCAACTGTCGCCGCTTTCGTGGGCTCCTGGGAGGCCCAGCGAGGTACGTCCAACGCGGAATCACCTCGGACCTCGGCGGGCCTGGCGATCTGCGCAATTGTCGCCACGTTCGTGGGCTCTTGGGAGGCCCAGCGGAGGTACGTCCAACGCGGATCACCTCGGGACCCCGCGGTGCCCTGGGTGCTGCGATCTGCGCAACTGTCGCCACTTCCGTGGGCTCCTGGGAGGCCCAGCGGAGGTACTTCCAACGCGGATCACCTCGGGACCTTGCGGCGCCTTGGGGGCTGCGATCTGCGCAACTGTCGCCACTTTCGTGGGCTCTTGGGAGGCCCAGCGGAGGTACGTCCAACGCGGATCACCTCGGGACCTCGCGGTGCCCTGGGGCTGCGATCTGCGCAATTGTCGCCACTTTCGTGGGCTCCTGGGAGGCCCAGCGGAGGTACGTCCAACGCGGATCACCTCGGGACCTCGCGGTGCCCTGGGGGGCTGCGATCTGCGCAACTGTCGCTAGTTTCGTGGGTTCTTGGGAGGCCCAGCG